CACAGACAGACAGACAGACAGACAGACAGACAGACAGACAGACAGACAGACACACACACACACACAGACAGACAGACAGACAGAGACACACACACACATCTGAATCAGGTCATCCCATACACTTCTGTTGTTTTATATACAGATAAGTGTTATAACCCAGGAGTTCCCAATCTTTTTTGTCAGCCGAACCATTTGCGCTTAAATAATTTCTTGGCCCACTGAAATTTTAAGTTGATATTTCAATAATTTAACAACACATTTTCATGTTTGTGATCCTCTGATGTCAGTTACTGGTGACATGACATACAGGTAAACAAATAAAATATATGTTTTAAAATATAGTACAAATACAAATAAATATTTTTAGAATATTTTTATTTTTTATTTAAAGGGGTCATATGATGCGATTTCAAGTTGTTCTTTCTCTTTGGAGTGTTACAAGCTGATTGTGAACAGATAAGATCCCTGAAGTTGCAAAGACTAAAGTCTCAAAACCAAAGAGATATTCTTTATCAAAGTTAAGACTCTGCCACGCCCCCCTAAAACGGCTCGTTCTAACCCGCCCCCACATATCTACCTCACTATGTGGAAATATTTGCATAATGCGCCCAAATGTTCAGCAAAGAAAGAAGGCGTGGTTTCAGTAACCGCAGTTAGTGTTGAAGCAGCATGTCAGGGAGACGCTGTGTGTTTCTAGACGAAAGCAAAAGCACTTTATTTGGCCTTCCGGAAGTAGATGCATTTAGGAATCTTTAAGATGACTTACAACAGAACAGCAATGCATTTTATGGACGACCGTTTCGTGAACCTAGGAGAGGAGGTCATTCTGACCATTTTCCCCCATTTTTTTCCCCATTTAAATGTTTAAATAAAATTTTTGTAATGAAAAAACATCAAAATAATTAAAATTGTGAAACTTCAACAATTTAATAATTTGTGAAACTTTTTACAATAATATGGCCCTATTAAATGTTTTCTTTTTCAGAAAATGTGTTTTCGATTTAAATTAATCTGGATTCTGTTTTAATGGTTTAATTAAGTTGTAGCTATCAAAAAGCATGTTTAATCAATTGAATTCATAAAGCTTCAACAATTTAATAATTCATTAACATTTTTACAATAATAGTACCCTATGAAATTTATTTTTTGTTTTAATTTATAATTTAATGCAAATTATTATTACATTTTACTATTATATTATATATACTATTTATATTATTATTACATATTATTATTACATTGATTTAAAAACAGTAGTAATCAAATGATGGCATAAAACATTAATTTTTGTGATGTTTAATAATTGTTTTGAAATGTAATCAAATGAAAATGTAACAATTCCTTTTATATTTTAGCAAACTAAAACCTGGTTTACTGTTCAAATGGAAGAACATGGAAGAAAAATGCTGTAGCATTCCTTTAAAAAATGTAATATTAATATTATTGTTGTTGCTTTTTCTACTACAGTATTATATTTTGTATTATATAGTATTGTATTTCTGTCACAATTTCTTCAAGTTAAACCAAGACAAATCTGTGCAGAGACATGCAGAACATGGAGACTTCATATTAAATTTCATTCATATTTCATCAATATGATTTATTGTTTATTTCTGTGAATCTGTATTGTATAAATCACTATAGAGATGACTGTGACTTTATACAGTCGCCCCTCCTTCATGCTCTCTGTTCTCCTCAGGAGCTTTGAGCATCATTTAATATTCTGGTTCTCCAGCGCTTCATTAACGGCTCATGAGTTATTACTAGT